ATGACGTCTTACAGGTTTCATATCTCTTTCTTTGCTAATTTCTCTTTCTTGACATTTACAATCTGCTTGGCTATGTCCGAATTAAGAGGTTTTTTTTATGGTGGATCTGAGATTTTTCTTGATGAAAGAAAAGAAACAAACATTTGTTTATTTATTCTGTCGCCTTTAACCTGTTTTTTGTTATTTAACTAGTGTACCCTGAAATTCTTGTGGGAATCTGGACTATTTTTTACAGGGTTCTGACGGTGTTAAAATGTGCTGTTTGCCCTTGCTACAAAACTATGTGAGCGTGTGTGCATTGAAAAGGCCGACGTCTTGCTCGATGTACAAGTTGTATACTGCTTAACAATTGGGGTACCGTTGAACGGAACAAACCGCAACATTTGTTTGTTTTTTTCTAACTACGGATGGCCATCGGCGTATAAAAACCTGCTTCTTTTAGTTTTTAAAAATATATACCAGTAATACTTTCTATTTTAATGACAAATGCTGAATTAAGACGACGTTTTATTGCTCTACCCGTAAAAAATATCGACAAGATAAACGAAATGAATCTCGTGATCGCATTTATCGTAAAACATACTGTAGACAGGTTTCTGAGAAATAGCATTTAAAATCAATTTTTCTTCTTTTTTCTCGATAAATCGCTTTTATTTCACCGATAAAAGCTTTAAACATGTTTTACTTTTAGTTTTACTTTTAACCATTCATTTTCAATATGAGGTCAGTTAAAATGTCCTAAAATTATTCTATGTAGAAAATACTGTATTCGATGAAAGATTGGACGTGTGATATGTGCTTTCATTTCAGAAGTCAACGTTCTTCGGGGACAGAGAAGACTTAAATATTGGTTTTAAAGAGCCCAGTTTTAACATAAGGGTGACTTATATGTTTAATTGGGTTATGTTATCGATAGAGAAAAAGGTGCGTGCTATTTACCATCACAAGCCGAATTAATTAGCTGGCCTAGATCTGTAATTTTACTGTCCCAATAGGCATCCATAATTTGAGAAAATAAACCGTTTTTTTTTCTTTTTCTCTCCGTTAGGGAATAAAAATACCATCATCTGTTTTACCCCCACATTTTGTTTTATTTTTTTAAATTTAATTGAAGGGTGGTGGAGTGAATCGTGACAATGAAACTTTATCTTTTTAAAATATTTAGGATTTAGTAAAATTTGCAGTTGGGAATATTTGTGAATCGATGTCTTCTTGGTGTGTTATTTCTGTGTGTCAGTAAATGTAAATTTTGGTCTTTATTATTATTTTTTTTAGCTTTTTTATACTTTCTCCCTTAATCTGGGGTGCACATGTGATGTTCCCAGCAGAGATGCCTTTTATGCGGAGGTAAATGATTGATTTCCCCAGCCACAATCGATTCTTTCTTGTGATGAATAAGAAAAAAAAAAAAAAAAAAAGGTTTAAACTTTAAATCCTAATTTAATCACGCGGCGAATATAACCCCAATTTTTATTTTTAATATACGTGCTTTTACGAATACGTTGCAAATGCTTTATACTCTAAAACAGCTATGATTTTATTGACAATACAATATTTTCATACCCGTTTAAGAAATAGGAAAAGTGTTTTTGTTAAACCGCCATTTTTGTAATGGACATCAGCCGTAGAAGGGGGGTGTTTGTGTGTGTGTCTCTGTGTGTGTTTTTCAGTTTTTTAATTACAACGCATCAGTTAAATTAATGTATTGTAGGGTTTGAAATTTAATAGTGTATCAATTTTTTTTAATTTAATAATTTTAAATTAAATAAAAATTAATTAAAAAAAAAAGCTACTTTTAATATTTGTCGCGTGACTAAACTAGGATTTTATTTTATTTATTTTTTCATCATTCAACCTGTGAGATTTTTTGTCGTTCTATTATTATTATTATTATTATTATTATTATTATTATTATTCAAACAAAATTCAAGATACTGGTTTCTAGCTAGAGAGAGTTATTATTTTCTTTTAAAGTTGTCCGAATTTCTTAGACGAAGCATTTTTTTTTGTCACGAAATCGTCGTCATCATTATTATTAATTTTTTATTAGTTTTTCTTTCATTTCCTATTTGTTTTTATCACAACGCTCAGGTCGTTTTTTGCATTCTACAACCGTTAGGGAAAGGACGGCCAAGAAACAAGAAAATCATATCAAGGACTTATAAAAAAAAAAAAAAATGAAAAGGATATATTCTTTATTTGCCGTGTTTCTACGCCTTGTAAATCCACTATTCTCCCCCCCCCCGTAAATAACTCTAAATCTTAGAGTTAAATACAGGGAAAAAAATGAATTGAGACGAGGATACAATTTACAGTTTACACTTTGACTTAGAGTTTAAATTGTATCTTCTCAATAACTCATTTTGCTAAACTTAAAATACATTTAATTTTAAGCAATTTGACTTATGTGCTGTAAGACTTAAATAATCAATCATCTACCAGTTTATCAATTCTAGGGTTTGAAATTCGGAAATACTGTTCACTAGTGTTCACTGAATATACTTTTCTACCTTGGATCAGAGTGTAGTATATATCCATCCTTTCATGAGAAACTTACATCATTAAGCAGGAAGGAATTGGGGGAAAATGAAGGAGATGGAGGGAGAGGTTGGTTGGTTAATTTTTTTATGGTTTATAAACACTTATTTCTAAAGCAGAAACACATTTTGGACTATAAGAATAATTATATGTTGTTTTTCAAGTGAATATTGTATTAACAGTTTTTTGGAGATAATGTTTTTTTCCAGATGCAAGTTCTGCTATTTAACCCAAAACTGGGGAGGGATGAGATGCATTCATACTTTTCCCAAAGGTATGTGTACACATAAGTGAATGCAATGAATCTGACTGGAACTTGAACTCAGTCCTCCAATTCTTCATTCCAAGCTTCTGTCCATTACACCACCTATAAATCTGAGAAGAGGTTGGAAAGGTAAGAAGTAAAAAAAACTTGAGAACACTGAAAAGAAAACCAGGTGAAAGGAAAAAATAAATATAGAGTAAGAGTAAAGATGAATGAAAGACATAGGAACACAGGCTTGCTGGTTGAATAGCAAGAAAAATGTAGGCAAAACTTTGTTAGATAAGTAGGGAACCAAAGGTGTAGCAAAAAATTGTAATAGATTAAGATTATCTATACTATTATTGTACGTACAGGGTGTTTCACAATTTTTTAAACAAAATGATTAGGCACGCATCAAAGACCAAAAACGATAGAGTAATGGAAATTATATTTATTGAAAGGTAAAAGGATAACATTTTAGAATCTGCAACCATTTAGTCTGAAACATGGACCAAAAATAGCAAGAGGAGCCCTAGAGTACATGCTAAAGATGTCCGTCGTTTTGTTGAAGGTTTGGGACATCGGTTGAGGAAAGACCTTTGATCTCACTTCTGCTGCACGAAAGTGAGTGTAAATTGGAATGGGTGATCGAATAAACAGGAAATCTCTGAGAGCTTTTTAGTGTGTACAATATATATATATATATACATACACACATCACACATTAAAATATATATATATATATATATATATATATATTGTCATCCACAGACAGACTGTTTCACAGCTCATCAGTGTGCCTAGGCATCCGATTGCCTCAAGCTGGGATTAAAACCTGACTGATTTGGTATCAATTGGAAATTCTACCCCTAAGCCATTGACACATAGCAGGGATGAAGGTGAATTTAGATTGATTTATTTTTAGACAAACCGGAGAACTGAATTTGTCTTAACAAAGAGTCTTGCAGCAGCAGCAGTATTAGTCACTGTTTACAAATTCACTTTTTTCCCCAAAGAGTTCAACTGAAATAATTTTTTCAGAAGACAGGGTGTTTTACAATTTTTTAAACAAAATGATTGGGCACACATCAAAGACCAAAAACGATAGAGTAATGGAAATTATATTTGTTGAAAGGTAAAAGGATAACATTTTAGAATCGGCAACCATTTAGTTTGAAACATGAACCAAAAATGGCAAGAGGAGCCCTAGAGTACATGCTCCAGATGTCTGCTGTTCAGTTGAAGGCACTGTTGAATGCAAAGTTGTTGACAACATGTGCACATTCCTCCTGGGGGATTGCTTGAATTTTCTCAGTGATGGTTGCCCTCAATGCAGCAATGGCGCAATGGTTGCCCTGGTAGATGTTGTCCTTGCCAAACTCCCAGAAGAAGAAATCTTTCTTTCAGGTCAAGCAAGTGAGGTGCCCATTTCACTTTAGCTTTGCAGCTGATGAGACATTTTCCAAATTTTTCATGTTGCCATGCCATGGTAACATTAGCAGTGTGGGGAGGCGCTCCATCCTGCTGGAACCACCGTTCCTCTTCATCAAGGTTCTAACACTCCTTGAGCTCTCCCCATCTGAGAAGCTGCTGCTTTGTATCAGCAATTGTGAAACACTCTGTATATGCCAACAATATGCTTTTCCATGTCGGATCAGTGTAGTATCTGCTCAATCCTTGGTTCTTTGGAACTGAAATCAGTTTGTTTATTGACCAAGAATTGACTGATTAGTTTTTTTTCTTTTTTTTGGCATATCAATCCATTGTAGGTTATTTAAAATCAAAATATGTTTTAGTTTGTAGAGTGTTGCTTATAGTACCTGATTTTTGACCAAGAAAGCCACATAATATTATTAAGCAGGAAGGAATTGGGAAAAGCAAGGAAGGGAAAAAAAAGTGAATGGGGAAAAAGAAACAGTTCAATGTAAAGCTAGAGAAAAATGAAAAGGAAACCAGGTGAAAGGAAAAATAAATAGGAAAGGAATGGCGATGAAAGAAAGAAATTAAAGCTAATCCATGTTTGCATAAGGTTTACATAAAAACAAGAATGGGCAATGAAAGAGAGTGAAAAAGATACAGGCTTTTGGAATTAAATCTATAGTATCATATACACACACACATATATATATATATATATATATATATATATATATATATATATATATATTATGTGTGTGTGCAGTTCAGGCATGTATATACTAAATGATACAAAATATCCAACAAATTAAAAAATGGAACATGTGAAAACTAGTAGTATTTTGAACTTTTTTTTTATTTAAGTGTTGATGTTTAGTTACTTTACATGAGAATTTCAAAGCATCTCAGCTTCACTCACTTTTCCACTGCTGTAACATAGCTTCCCTGTGCCTTTTTTTATAAATACTTTCATGGTAACTGTTCTGTTGAACTTTCCTCCATGGTACTTAGACTTTATGAATTCAAGTGCAGTACTAGATTGGCAGCTAGGTCTCATCATTTTACAGTTGAAATGGTTAGATGTACCCATAAGTTTTATGTTAACAGTTTCTTCTATCACATTTCTCGTTTGTGGAACTCTTCCAGCTTCTTGCTTCCCAGTTAACTTTGGTCTTCAATAATTTAAATACAGTGTTATATGCTCTCTTCTCTCTTAATCTTTTATTGTTATCTCTCTGAAAACACTAAGCTATCTGGAGAATGTTTCAAGAGAATATTATTTTAATCATTTCATTGTGAAATGATTAAAAATATATTCTCTTGAAATCTTTTTCTTACACAATGATAGAAAATTATTCTCTTGAAACCTTTTTTTTACACAATGATAGAAAAATATTCTCTGGAAACCATTTTTTTTTTTTTTTTACACAATGAAATAATAAAAAAAATATTCTCTTGAAACATTCTCCAGATATCTTAATGTTTCCAGAGACTAATTCAAACTCTTCTGCCTCTACCAGTGAATTTTCTGTTCCAGGTTATCTTGATCTTTGTTGAAAAGATTATAGCATACATATGAATAGCGTATGTGTTTATATCCAGGAAAATTTTCCAATGACAAGGAAATCATCTCTTGAGTCTCCGGATGATTCTTTCATGTGCTTTCGACTTTTATTATTGCACTCTGTTAGTTCCCTTTCTTCGTTAATGTACCCTCTTCTCAGGACTGGCAAATTAGACAGAATATCTGACAGTATTGAAATGGCTCTCTCCCTATATTCATCTGCAGACATCTTTTGGTTTGGTGATTACAGTGCTCATAATATCAAGTGGTTTATTCATTCTGATATTGCTGGTATTCAGAATTTCGATTATTCTGTTGATCAATCTTTCAGTCAAATAGTAGATTTCCCTACTCGTTTTCCTAATAATTCTGATCGACATATTTGTTCCTTACCTCCTCTCCTGGCTCTTGTTCAGCATTGCAACTCTGTCCTCTTGGCAATTTGGATCATGCTGTAGTACTTGTTGATATTTCTTTTGACTTGTTAATTAGACATGAACTTACTAGTCACAAACCTTTCTCTTACTAACGTACCGATTGGGATTCATTTCATGATTTTATTTGCAACGCTCCTTTGAGTGAAATTTTTAATCTTCCTATTGAGAATTGTGCCATGGAAGTTTCTTCTTGGGTAAAAGCCAGCATCGATGCTTTTGTGCCACTTCAGAAATACCAGGTGAAATCACAATTTTCTCCTTGATTTGCACATGCCTCTTCAGTCACTATAACCCACAGGAATTACCTTTTCCATTATACCAACATACTAGCAGACATCTCTTTGTGTCCATATATAATAAGTGCAGACATGTCCTCAAAGAGCCTGTCATTATTTTATAATAGGGTGATACCTCGTATAGACTCTTACAAGTTTGGTTCTTGTTATTACTTGTGGTTTTGCAAAAGTATGCTAAATCAATTTCAAGTGCTATCATATTCTGCTGATAAAGCAGGATGCTTTGCCCACAAATTCTCTTCCAATTCTACTCTTGACTTAGCAGGAGTAACTTTGCCTGATTTTCCACCTAGAACTGAATCTATTGAGTTCTATGCATATAATTCTGTCTATGGTTTCTGCTATCATCTCTAAACTTGATCTCCACAAAACATATGGACTCTATGGCATCATGGCAATTGTTCTTAAGAAATGTGCACCTGAACTGGCTCCTGTTCTCTCCAAACTCTAGATTAGATGCCTTGCTGCTTCTTGCTTTCCAGATAGTTGGAAATCCTCTTCTGTAGTTCCAGTCTTTAAGAACTCTGGCAAAATGTCTGATCCTTTGAACTATCGACCTATTAGTCTTCTACTGCTCTTTGGCAAAGTACTAGCGACTCTAATGAACACTGAAGTGGTTAAGCATATCACCTTGCAGAATCTTCTTTCAGACAAACAATATGGCTTTAACTTCTCTAGATTAAGTGCTGATGTGTTGACAATTATTGCTGAAAGAGTCTGTAAAGCTATGGATAAGAATTATGAAGCTTAAGTTGTTGAAGGCATTTGACAGAGTTTGGCATGCTGGTCTTCTTCAAAAGTTGAAGAGTTATGATATTTCTGGACAAATTGTTGTTCTGTTTCAGTCTGTCTTATCAAATTATGAAACGAGGTTTTCTTGAATGGTCACTCCTCTAAGTCTTTTTCCATTAATGTGGATATTTCCAAGGGCTCTATCCTTAGACCTATGTTAGTTCTAATTTTCATCAACAACCATGCCAATGTTATCAGTTCTCCACTCTGCATATATGCTGATGACACGTCTGTTTACTCGTCTTACTGATAATTCTGATATGTTTGATAAGATCAAATTGGCAGCTAATCTAAAACTAATCTTCAATCTGTTATTTACTGGAGCAAGAAATGGCTCAATTTTAATAACTCCAAAATTAAACTTCTCTCTTTGTCTTAGAGAACCATTTTTGTCTTTCATCAGTATGGCTGATGCTAACTTCCAAAAGAGTAACTCCTGGCAGCTTCCCAGACTTACATTTACCACTAACATGAATTGAAACGATTATATAGAATCAGTTGCTAGGTCTACTACCAGGAAAGTTCCTATATTATACTAAACAGTTTTTTATTGCCAGAATTTACCTTGCACATTTATAAGTCTATCAGTCGTCCATGCATTGAATATTGCTGACACATCTAGTTTAGTGCTTCTGCTATATATCTAGAGATTCTTGACAAAATTTAAAGCAGAATCTGCAATGTTATTAGTCCTAAGATGGCATCTTGGCTTCAGTCACTTTCCCAATTTCCTTAACTTAGCTTCCCTGTGCCTTTTCTATAAATATTTTCATAGTAATTGTTCAAATGAAGTTTCCTGTTTAGTACCTTGACTTTAGAAATTTAAGTGCAGTACTAGACTGGCAGTTGGCTTCCATCATTTTACAGTTGTTTGAAATTGATTGACGTAACTGTAAGTTCTGTGCTAAGAGTTTCTTCTGTCACATTTCCCCTCTGTAGAAATAGCTTCTGGCTTCTTGCTTTCCTGTCAACTATGATCTTCAAAAATTTAAATACATTGTCAATTGTTATCTTTTGTCTCCTTGAAATCATTTATTGTCAAGTGTCGTCTGTGGTGTTTCAGTTTCTTTTATTCCCAGTAATCATTTGTGTCTTAGTGGCTTTATTTTCTTGCTTGAATTGAAATGATTAAAAAAAGTAATTTTTTAAAATTTGTTGCATTTATAGGAGAAGAGTACTCAATATTGGAAATAGTGTATATAGATATAGTTTATCTACAATTTTAATTAGGATGAGCAACAACTTATTGGAAAGAATACAATAGAAAATTAGAGATCTTATTTGAATTTCATAAAACTTGTTTAAATGAATTGTTGCTGCGGAAATATACATTTTACCTATCTATCAGTCTATTTCTATCTATCTCTCGGGGTCTGTATCTATCTATCTATCTATCTATCTATCTATCTATTTCTAGCTAGCTATCCCTGAGTCTACTTCTATCTATCTGTCTATTTCTAGCTAGCTATCCCTGAGTCTACTTCTATCTATCTATCTATCTATCTATCTATCTATCTATCTATCTATCTATCTGGGTCTGTTTCTATCTATCTATCTATCTATCTGGGTCTGTTTCTATCTATCTATCTATCTATCTGGGTCTGTTTCTATCTATCTATCTGTCTATTTCTAGCTAGCTATCCCTGAGTCTACTTCTATCTATCTATCTATCTATCTATCTATCTATCTATCTATCTATCTATCTATCTATCTATCTATCTGGGTCTGTTTCTATCTATCTATCTGTCTATTTCTAGCTAGCTATCCCTGGGTCTACTTCTATCTATCTATCTATCTATCTATCTATCTATCTATCTATCTATAAGCCTGTTTCTGTTGATCTACCTATCCCTGAGCCTGTTTCTATCGGTCTTCCTATCCCTGAGCCTGTTTCTATCAATCTATCTTTCTCTGAGCTTGTTTCTAAATATCTGTCTATCTTATCTGGTAAAGTGTTCACCTAAAAAGCTGAAATGAAATGACAGTATAACGATTGCATACAACATAACATTCTGTTTTTAGAACTAAATTCTGCAAATTTCAGTTGTTTAATTTGAAAAAGATCAGAGTGGTGGTGTCTTGTACATGAAGAAATTGAATATTTCCAGTTTTTGTGAACGAGGCTCAAAAAATCATCAGAAGTTAATACAATTCCTTTAAAAAAAAAAGCTTCGAAATACAAATTCTTTCATAAAAGATACACTTACTTAATTGAAATTTGAAACTGAGATGGCTTTGGTAGGTTCACCAGAGTCATTTGGACATTTATTGGTTAATGTTTTAGTAATAATTTTTTTTTTTTTTTTTGCGAAATTCATCTGACCAAATCTAAGACATGCTTAAGGAACATGTATGCTTTATAAAGAATAAAATTAACATGAGAGTTGTAAACAAATGTATTATTTTACTTTATTTTGTTATCAGAAGTTAGAAGTCCAAATGTTTGTATCTTGTTGACATTATTTGGACAGGACGTGTCACATTAGGGCAGGTCAATTTTGGAACTGTGGTATTGCACTCAATTTGAAAGTTAAGTTTTGACATGATAAATAATGACACAAAATATTTCCTTTCAAAATTTTTACCTTTTTTTTGAGGAAATGAGTTTAAAATTAAGTTCAAAATCGTAGCATTGAAATTTCATTCCAGTGATCGGTGAAAGCCTTATACCACAGCCTTATGGAATTTATAATTTACTGAAACTTTATAAATTGTAAATGTCCAATATATATACATGGACAAGATGTATGACACAAGGACATTATTACAAAATTGTGCCATCAAATAAGACTTTCATTTACTTCCAAGGGAAACTTTACTAAACAATTTAACTATACACACACAATTCACACATACCTGGAAATATGCACACATATACACACACACACACACACATAAATGCATATAGAGAGATAAATGCACACACATCTACATAGACATAAATCATACACACAATGATCAAGCAGCCCTACAGACTTGCATATATACACAGACACAAATGTGCACACACATGTATACATAGACATAGATATAGATAAACAGGGAGCCTCCTCTCTCAAAATACACACACACACATACACATACACACACAAAATCAAGTGCCATATGTGGTACACTAGGGCAAGATGATTTTCAGTACCTTGATATGACAATCAATTTGAAAGTTTGGGTTTGACATAATAAATAAAGATACAAACTATTTTTTCAGATTGTTACCAATTTTGGAGGAAACGAGTTTAAAGATTGAGTTATGGTTCAAAATTGTAGCGTTGGAATTTCATTCCACTGATCAGTGAAAGCCTTATAAGACAGCCTTATAAAATTTATAATTTACTGAAGCTTTACAAATTCTATATGGACAAGATGAATGGCAAAAGCACATTATTACTACGGATATGCAATGTGATAGGTCCTGATCTTGCATCTCGTCTGCAGTCACTTTTTCTCTCTTACACACACACACACACACATACACACACACACATAGTCTGTCCTGCTATTTACCCATAGCTGGAGTGAGAAGAAGAGGATTCACAACTTTCCCAAAGGTATTAACACACAAGTGAATGTAATAGATTCGACTGGAATTTGAATTCGGCACTCCGATTCCTCAACCCAAGCTGCTATCCATTACTCCACCGTGCCTCCCTGGTCTAGGAGAAGGACAACTCTGAATTCAAAACCTGTGGAGGGTCGTTTGGGGACTTTGTAGCACGTAGTGCACCAGGTCTCTGTATTCAGTCCTTCAATAAGTGTGGATGGTCCTGCACGAAACCTTCACCACTATAACCAAATCTCATGTGCTGTTGTCGGGCTGCCGGTTTCCTTGGAACTGATCTGCTTAACTCTCATATGTCGAATTCGACAGGAGAGTTTATATATATATATATATATATATATATATATATATATATATATATTAGGCAGCATATATTTTACATTATAATTGATTCGATGTATGATTATCTCTTTATAATATATATATATATTGATGAAGGGTAAAATGGAGAAATATTCTGGAGAAGAATATTTCTTGGACATGTGAGGAAGGAGGGTTTGATAAATGTAAACCTCACAGGGTATATTGAGGCCAAAAGAGAAGGGGGTGGGCGGCTTGCCACCTAGCTGACGTGCTTGGGTGAATGGATTGCGGATCAGGAAAAGAAAGCTTGACGAAGGAAGAAAAGTTGCTAAGGATCTCGAGGAATAGGAAGTTGTTACCGTTTTTGGAATAAACAATTTTAAAGATAAGTTTTAGATTCAAAATCATAGTGTTGGAATTTCATTCCAGTGATCACTGAAAGCCTTATGGGACAGCCTTATAAAATTTATAATTTACTGAAGTTTTACATATTGTATATGGACAAGATGAATGGCAAAAGCACATTATTATGAAATCATTGTGGATGTGTACTGTGAGCAATGATGGCGGCAACTAGAAAAAGTTTCGGAACTGCTGTTTTAGAATGATTATAAGATTCACCATGGCTTTTATGTTTTATTAGCATATTCTTCATATTTGTGCCAAGTCCCTTCAGGACATGAGCGATCATGGCTCTACACAAATTCCTGTCTTGTTGTTTTCAGACTCTTCTTCATCTGTCAAGAAATTGTCCAGAATTTGCCTCTATATAGGAAATTAGATATGACTTAGCAGTTCAGTCTTTTCTTATGATATTTTCCTATGTCTTAATACATTGATTAGTTTCTGAAAGGCACCTTTCATTTATTCTCAGCATAGTAATTAGCATATTACCTGTCACAAAAACTCTGGATTATTTGAATCAGAGTATCTGTGAAAGTTGTCTAGGATCCAAATATCATTCCCCATCTCTCTGTTTAGGATCAGTGTAGCATCTGTGCAATCTACCTAGGATCAGTGTGGCACGTGTGCAATCTACCTAGGATCAGTGTGGCACGTGTGCAATCTACCTAGGATCAGTGTGGCACGTGTGCAATCTACCTAGGATCAGTGTGGCACGTTTGCAATCTACCTAGGATCAGTGTGGCACGTGTGCAATCTACCTAGGATCAGTGTGGCATCTGTGCAATCTACCTAGGATCAGTGTGGCATCTGTGCAATCTACCTAGGATCAGTGTGGCATCTGTGCAATCTACCTAGGATCAATGTAGCATTTGTGCACTCTACTGAGGATCAATGTAGCATTTGTGCACTCTACTGAGGATCAATGTGGCATCTCTGTGATCTACACAGGATTAATACGTTGTTACCTAGTCCTTGGTCTCAGATCTAATATCTGTTTGCTCTACCTTTTTTATTTTTACTAAAGTTCACAAAGCCTAAGAGCCCCTCAAGGTAGAAGGTTACTGAATGGGGTGTCTGATATGAATGTAAGAGGATGAAGTAGGAACTGAAGGTTATAAAAATATGCAGGATTACTTTCTAATGGATTACTGAAACTTGGGCAGATTTTTACTATGCAATGTTATAACAAATTTAGTGTAGCAGATATGGAAATCAAACACAGGATGGTTTGCACTAGGAGTACTTTGATCTAATATTGTAAGATACTACAAAACCAAGATATTAACTTAAGAACATGAATTATATTTTTAAATAACATTGTCGCAGAGAAAACAGGTGGACTATTTGAGTAACAGAGTGGACACCAAAGCAGTGGAAAAGAACTAGAGGGTGGCTAAAGGCAATATGGTGTGATGATCTGACTTTATAACTCAGCCCCATATGACCCAGAATGGCTAGAAATAGGAAGAGGTGGCAGTCAACCAAGGAGTGGTTCGTCCAACAGGAAAGAAGGATTTGGATTTGACTTTGTTATATCTAGACTCTGATATTGAATGTCATGCATAATGTCCAACTTGTTCAGTAATTTCTAAGCTATCATCTTTATACAATTGTTTTCGCAGATTAGTGATTAAAAATGGCTTCAAGCGAATGAATCCTTTTGGTCTTAAGGAAGACAATCCTTCATCAGATTGTATTGACTGAAACTACAAATACAATCATAACTGGATCAAGTGGAGGCTTCTTGTTGAGCAAGCCATCATGCAGCACTCCCTGGTTGGGGGGTTATGGGACAAGAAGAAGAAATGATATAAGGAACTTGGCTCATCAATTTGCCATTCTGAGGTGCTAACCATTACACCATACATTTCTCTCAGTCTGTTCATGTCTGTCTATGTTTATTCTTCTATCTATCTATCTATCTATCTATCTATCTATTTCAGTTTGTACAAGGTCTGATCAAAGTGTATCTGTACTGTTGCTATAGTAACTGAACTAAAGTATGCAGAGTGAAGTTGTTTGGCACAGCTTGACCTTGAACTCTGTCGCATATACACACTAAATTATAACATCTGATCAGGAGGTTTTGAGGAGCGTGGAACCACCTCTTAATTGCTGGTGTTCCCAGGTCCACCCTGACTTGGAGTGGTAGCACCTGTTAGGGTCCCAGCTATGGGCAAATAGTTAACTATTACCAGCAATACTCTTTTGAAAAAAATTATTACCAGTAATACAATTTTGAAAGAAATATATTACCAGAAACAGATTTTTGACAAAACAAAATATTACCAGGAATAAAAATTTTTGTCAGCATTAAATAACCCACTGAGGTTGATATGCCCTAAAACAAAATAAACCAAACCAATCTAAACCAAAGAATACATATTATATTCATATGAATCTATCCTAAAAATGTTGGCATTAAATAACCCATTGACGTTGATATGCCGTTAAACAAAATAAACCAAACCAATCTAAACCAAAGAATACATATTCTATTCATACGAATCTATCCTATATGTTGTCAGCATTACATAACCCATTGAGGTTGATATGCCGTTAAACAAAATAAACCAAACCAAACCAAGCACATTTCCTAGGTCCGACAACCACGATATTCTCCAGATATTGTCACTTGTGATTTTTTTCCTTTACAAAAATCAGATCCAACTTCAAAGGAACAAGATTTCAAGATGTCAAGGAAATGTAAGAGAATGTGACTAGGCAGCTGCTTGATATCCCAAAAAATGAATTCCAGGAATTCTTCCATTAATGGAAATGATGCTGGATAAAATGTTTGACTTCAGAAGGGGACTAATTTGAAGCAGATTAAATGCCAAATTGATATGTGATATAGTTTTCTTTTCATTGCACCCGTCCCGATACTTTTTGTTCAAACCTTATACACGTGTCTACTATATTATTCATACTCTCTGCCTGTTCATTATCTATCTCAAAATAATAGTGTCAAGATGGAAAACTGGGTAGTGATATCTTTCATTCCAAGTAGGAACTTCTTCAGTCAATGGTTTTATTGATAGTTTTTTTTACTATATTGTTGTGTAATAACTATATAAAACTGATCTCCACTTTATGCTTACTAGAATCTTCTTTTAATACTAGTTTACCTATGACATCAAAAATAGGAGTAAAATTCTGGGGGATCAGTTTATTACTTAATAATAATAGGAAACCAATCCCCCATATTAAGTTCCATAAAATCTTATGTTTATACCAGTTTAACTGCAGTAAGAAAAATGATAGCATATTTTGTTAAGTTCTTAATATTATTAGAAGGTTTCTATATGTAAGTTTTTAAATATATATTTTAAAACATTTTATTTTAATATTTGCTACATACTTGAGAAGCAGTTTATTACTTAGTAACAATAGAAACTGTCACCCATTTTATGCTCAATAGAAAATGATGGCTCTCATATATATATATATATATATATATATATATATATATATATACACACACACACACACAACAGTGCGATGGATAAATTGTCATTTGTTTTACACAAAAATAAAACTGATATCTAATTTTAACAAACATATTTACCAAAATTACACAAAAATTTCTTGAAATACTAAAGAGTAAATTTATCCAATAAAATCACCATTGGCTTCAATCACAACCTCCAGATGACTTTGGAATCTCCTGCAACTCTTCTGGACAGTCTCCTTGTTTAAGATGGTGAATGCTGCCATGATCCTTGCGTTCAGTTCATCTTTGGTGTTACAAGGAGTTTTGTTGGTATCTCACTCAATTGCACCCAATGATAATCAAAGATATTGCAGTCTGGGGAGTTAGGTGGCCAGATCTAAGGGGTGATGTGGTCACAGAAATTGTCTGACAGCCATGACTGGGTTCTTCTGCTTGTGTGGCATGGTGCAGGGTCCTATTGCCAGACATCCTCTTGACCCAGGACAGCACTTCCTCCTCAAGGCACTTGATGTAGGCCTCATGTTGAGTCAGAGACCCTGTCGGAAGATAAATGAAGGCCTAACGTCGCCATCACTAGTGATCACTTCAAACAACTTCGAAATCACCATTAGACTCATCAAACTCTTTCCAAATCCTCTGCACTGTCCTCAGATTGACACCCAAACTGTCTGAAATGTGTGTATTGTAGCTTCCAGTGCAAATAGCAAGCAGTACAGTATGCTGTTTCCAAATTTCTGGCAGAATGAATTGTGTCATGGTGATGTCTTTCTCACAGATGGTACTGCACTGACCATACTACACTGTGCAGTAGACAAAATCAACAATAAACAACACACAACACATATGCGAAAATTAAAAATATAAAATGGCGACCTTTTACTCCTCACATCCTATATATATATATTTTATATATATATATATAAAATGTGTAATATTTCAGATCGACCTCGATCTTTCTTCTGAAGAAAGATGAAATTCGATCTGAAATATCAAAAACTATATATATAAAAAAATATATATGAAAAAAATATAAATAAATACTTTCATAAAAAAATCATTATTATTATTTTTTTAGTTTGCAACTTTTAGTTTTTTTTTTTTTATATATGTATGTGTGTGTATATATATATATATATATATATATATATATATATATATATATATATATATATATATATAATATTTTTAGTAAATATACATGTACATATGCAAAATATACAAATATATATACATATATGCATATAATTTTGTATAAAAAAAAAATTCAAGAGGATATTTACGATTCCAATGGAATAAATTATGACCATGGAATATTAGTGTTTAAGCCTTTTATTATATATATATATATATATATATATATATATATATATATATATATAAAAGCAAAAGGTATTCATCCAAACAAGTTTGATTAAAAAGAACTGACAAGGTGTCGTATAGGAATAAAGTATCGCTACTGACACTTGGGTTTGAACATGGATCGCCAGAGAACAAGCACAGTTGATCTCATTTTGAAATAATTAGATCACGTGATAGGTAAAGGAAAAATGTATATATGCGAATTAGCAGTGTCTGACTGAGTATTATTCGAAGGCATTACTATTATTGTATCTGTGATTTATAAAGTCTCTCCTACAAATGAGCATTACAAAACAGTCTTTCTGTTTAATTTTTATTGTATTTTTAATATTTTGGAATAAGGTATTGTTTATTGTGATCAACATTGTGGATAAACTATCCAAAGTTAATGTTGTATTTTTGTTTTGTTCAAGTACTTTTGGTTGTCTCAGTCATTTTCCTTAACCAGTGTGGTATCTGTGTGGTAGGCAGAATTTCTTTGTTTACATCCTGGTATTGTTTGGACAGCTGAAAGTTTGAAATATTCTGTGGTAATGTCATGTGTAATGGTTTTTGGAAGTGAGACTGCACCAAGAAAGTGATGTGGCTTTGAACAGGCAAGAAAAACAGATCATGCTAGAGAATGACAAAAGACTTCTTTTGATTTACTACGTAGTTATATGACAAACATGGATTAACATGCCCACAAGAAGACATAAGTGTCAATTCTAAAGAACAAAGAAAATGTATAAATTCACTTCCATATGTTTAAGTTTTATTATAATTCTAATCATTGCTTTTTAAAACAATAAATATTGTCAAAGAATGAAGGTAGTTAAAAAAGAAGTGTCATGGATAAAAACATCCTTTTGATACTCCATCTTATTCCTGGTATATTTTTCCATGTTTGCCTGTTACGCATTATTTACCTTTACACTAATCTCCTCATCTTTGTTGTTGTTATCACAATGTTTTGGTCTTTGTGCTCTTCAGCCGTCTTCAACTATCTGTTGATCCATGTAGCCTTCAGGGAATTTTTTACTAAAGAGGTTAAGTTCAAAATTCCTTGAAAAATAAAAAAAAGAGTTCATCTTTATTCACATTTGATATTATTAACCTTTAACATTCTAGAGATGATTTTGTTTGTAAAGCAAAAATTTTATCTTGCCTCTGTAAGCGACTCAGATGAATGAATAATAGCATGTTTGAATTTTGCAGTTGTGTTGTCATATCCTGCTATGGCAACAGAAAGTGACCATGACTGAATTTAAGTAGTGCAGTAGAAGAGCCTTGAAAAACAATGCCATGGAAAGGAAAGTAATGAATAATGCAGTGTGTTAAAGGTTAATACTTAGTTAAGAAGTAAATCAATTTAGAATTTAGTCCATGTTGTGTTTTCAAATCTATCCCAGTTTGCCACCCCTGACAGCAGGTTATTTTTCTTCATTTTTTTTATCTTCTTTGACCTTTATTTCTATTGCCTCAAGTGTCTTCTTCATCTGTGAGGAGATTGTCCAACATTCACTGCCATATGGGAGGACTAATAGTTCAGTACTCTTTTCTTTGTTTCTAATGAAATTTTCCTGTTTCTTAACCTTTAACATTCTGGAAGTGATTTGGTTTGCAAAGCAGAAATTTTATCCTGCCACTGCAAGTTACTCAGATGAATGAATGATAGTGTATTTGGATTTTGCAGTTGTGTTGTCATATCCTGCTATGGCAACAAAAAATGACCATGACTAAAATTAAATTGAGTTGAGGAGCATTGAAAAACAATATCATGGAAAGGAAAGTAATGAATAATGCAGTGTGTTAAAGATTAATAGGCCTTAGAATGGATTATCTGAAATGTTGGTGAAACAATATAAATAATACGAATGATGTTAAATCTCTTTAACTTTAAAATATTTGATTAAAATTTATTGTTTTAAAAATCTCCTCCTTTCATATTTTAATCATTCATTTATTCATTGACTTACAGCAAAAATTGAACTCTTGAAAATGATTAAAAAAGTATTCAAGATGTTTGTCATTAAAAAAAATTCCTTGTCTAAACGTTAAAATTATTGAAAAAATATTTTAACAACATTTCTTTTTCTTTTATGTGTGACTTGTGTAAATGATATCGGTGTTGATAGTAAAATTAGTAA